TTTCTGGTTTCCTAAAGGACAAAGTAGTCTCTTTTCAAATCCCTTTTAGTCAACGTTTCTCCGCTGTTGTTCTTTCATAAGCATTTAGAGCATTGCAACAATACTTATGATGTCAGCGTAGATCAGAATCCGAACCAGAGTGATCACGCGAACTACTATTAGAATCCAAGCTGTTTCCGACGCGAATCGCTAGTGCAGCGGTTATCACTTCAGTCATGTTTCGCTGTAGTTCAAAAACTGGTGCCCCCTACGGTAGGTACTGAAGTTTGTCAACTCTCGCTGTAAACAGCAAATGTTGACCCCGGACCACGAGCTTCCAAAGGTGGATACTATTCGGCAGTATGATCACATCCACTTCATTCCCTCGTTAGATAAAGAAAAGTTGTCACCAGTACATTGCCACGAGAGCCCCTAGTAGGTCGCCGATAGTTGGCAACCGGGAATAGGGGCAGGCAAAATTGAATACAGAAACTGAAAGGAAATGGGACGTCATTAGATGGAGATAGCCTGATATTTTGTAGCAATCTTAGTTTGGTGCAGACAAATTCCGAGCTTTGACCTCTTAGATTCAGAGTTATTTAATTTAAACTGCTTCCTTACATATGCCATCAGTATGTGTGCTCTGTTTTTATTTCATTAGAACAAAGAGCGTAGCTGTGTTTATTAAAGCTAAACCTACGCACGCAAATTAAGTATCTCTATAACTGTGGTGTATGTTGATATCTACTAGATTTTAAATCTGTCAATGTTATTTAGTTTCATCCCTTATTCAATATATAGCGATATTTAATAAGGCATTTTGTTTACTAGGCCTCTGCTAAACAATATGTGCATGACTTGGAAAAATTGTTGGTTACGGGACAAATTGATTTTGTGCCACAATATTTGAGGTACAAAACCGAAAAGTTAGGTTATACAACTTTGACGGATATCGTGTCCGTCGGAGAGCCCGAACGTCATTATCTGTATGTGCCGTTTGCGTCGCCGCTGCCGGCGTGGTCGCTGCCGCTGCGCGTGTTCTCCCCGCGCATCTGGCTGGCGCTGCTGGGGGCGGCGGTGGCGTACGCGCTGGCGTGGCGCGTGGTGGCGGGCGAGTCGCTGGCCGCCAGCGCCGCCGCCGCGCTGCGCGCCTTCTCCTCGTGCGGGGGCGCCCCGCAGGACAGGGTGCGCGCCACGCCGCAGCGCCTGCAGCTGGCCGCCGCGCTGCTCGCCTCCGCCGTCGTCGTCGTAGCATATCAGGTAGCCCTCATCTCCATTTTCATGGTCTAACTTTCTCGTATTCCTTACTCAGAGAACGTTTCGGCGGTTACACGCTCGTAAAATGTTTTTTTGTATTCCAGCATTATCAAGCTTTTGTGTTGCAAGAAATCGTTCATAATCGGGCATTTTACAGCACAAATGGTGACGTATTTGATTTTTGTCACCAATGATTGCGTCATAACACATTTAGCCAATCGTAGCGAGAGAATCGGGGGAAGGTAGAGGTAAACAGAACAGCCGACCACCGTTTACTCGCAGGATGTCAAATACCTGAGTCGTCACAGCGAAGTTGTTTCGCAAAATTAAGTTTGATTCTCTTATAAATCTATAATGAGGTTATAAAAAATTATAGTATGCAACTCGTTTATAATGTTTCTTTATTACATTCGTACAAATTTGAAAACTCGCTCCTAAAGTCACTCGTTTTCAAAACATGTACTCATGCAATAGAGCTGAATTTAATAAACAAATTGCATAAACTACAATTATGTGATACGAACAATTAGAGGCTCGGGCGAGTTGAATTTCGTCCACATTGGAGGTGTACGTCAACATCTTCTGTTATCGTGGTGACTTCTATTTTCCCAATGATTTCTTGAAATGCCCCTTGCGTAAACCCTGAACCTATGTAGGAAGTAATATTTTTGAATTGGCGAATTATTTTCTTATTTTTGTATTGTGTTGTTGTATTAAAGCATTCAGCTATTTATTGTGTGTATGTAAAGTGAAATAGTGGAAACTGCCTTCTCTAGGGACACTTTTCACGTTTTAATTTTTCCCCTTGTTCTTTTGAATATGAGATTGTGGTTGGTCCTCTTTTGGGGATGCTACACATCTCAGCCTATTTATGTGTAGTAAGAATAATTTAAGAACATTCTAAAAGGTTATTTGTAAGATAAATTGCTTGTGGATGTTCTTTTTTCATGAAGAGATTATCACAATAACACTTATTGGACAAAAGGATATTTAACCTAGGTTATGTTCAGTCGTGTATAAGGGACAAAAAATAAATTTGGTTGCCCTTTCTGACAACTGAACACCTGAATTATACAAGTTCTGTCCTCTATATTTACTTCAAAGAATATAACAGCATTGTTTAAACTAAATGGACTTGAACCTAGATTATACCTTGTAAAGGAAAGAGGAAAAATATGAATGTTTGCTGTCTTTGAGAACAACAGAACACAGATATGTCAGGGAGCTTAGCTTTTAGGTCCTTCATATCAACTTCATCAAACCTTGATCAATTTTGAACCTTGATCAATTTTGAATAAGTGAATCATTATACTTGCATTTTTGAAAATATTATACAATTAAGATTTCAAGTTCGTCCTTTTCTATGACCAAACTATAGATGAATAGCAAATTGACATACGCTCTTTAACAGCAGTCCAAACTGCACTATTCTTCTGGAGGTTGAGGCCTTTTATTGTATTTTTTTTGTTTCGTGCCATGACCAGATTACATCCCGAAACCAACTGCATTCAATTTAATACTACACTCATGTACCTAGGGATGTCCCTAGGTACATCAACAGTTACTGTCCCTAGGTACAACAATCTATAATGATGAATGAGCATTGCTACTGATAATTGTTGCTTATCTGTACGAAAGAAGTATACAGCTTGTAATAACTACACTATTTTTTTGTAAGTGTAGGTCTACTTCCATTTTCGGAAAATAATGGTAGTTGTTTCAACATTGGTGAAAGAGAAATGTAGAAATATTTACTTTTCATTCGTCATCTATTCATTCATCTATTAAACTATCATAAAATTACTGAAACAGCTCACACTACAAAATGTTTCTCTTGGATAAACACAAATGGTAACAGCAGTCTTGGGGAAAATAACAATTCGAATTTTTTCTCACTGTCTCGAAAACATACTTTGTGTCTGGGTGCGACACTTTTCATTAAATTAACAAATCTTTATAAGCCAACAATTCTTGCTTAAGGGCGGAGAGCTGTCTTAACAGTGAAAAATCTTCGTTAAACGTCTTAACCTGACGATAGGAAGTAATTAATTTATTGCACTCCTAAGTAAACACGACTACCAAATCAAGATACATTTGGTTCAAACTGTTTAATTTTACTTCCAACTCACTATTTGAAATCTAAATGGTTTATTATTAAATTTTGATAGATAATTTCTCGTTTAGGAAAGGAAATGAGAAATATTGTTGCAAAATTTGGGGCAATAACTTCTCCGAAAGGTTGCAATGGGTCAGGTATCCAGTAATGTACCGCCAATCAGGAGCTATTTGTCCCTCCTTTTTTTTTAATCTCCCCAGTTGCTGTGAACGCACTTATCACGAACTCATGTAAGCTGGTTGCTTGCGCAGAACTTTGGCATGCCTGTGGTAGACGTTCAGTGCGTCCTGAGGCTTTTACAGTTCTTCTGACGGAAAATTTAACATAACGTTTTGTTGAATAATTCACTGAGATTTTGGTCATCATTACTCCTACACTATGATATTTGTGTTTTCGCACATTTTTAACGAACCTACCACTTGTGCAAATGACATCTTTTAACCGTTATTTATTATTTATGTATATATTTATTTATTCATGGACATATCTTGTAAATTTACAATGGAAATGTAGGTATACGTGTACATATCTTCTTCTCCTATATTCCGTATACAGGCTTTCTTGGGATGAATTACTCATGGTGGTTTTTCGTTGCCTTGTTTGAGCCAAGCTTTTTTAGAAGCCTATCTCCCACGCGGGTCTGGGGACCTTTATCGAGTATGTGCACGTCATTGGCAGCCCCTAATGCGCCTGGGATTTGACTCTCACTTTCCCCACCAGACGTCGATCTAGGTTACTATAACCGAACTGTCTGGTTGGGGAAAAGTGAGATCTCGTTTGGGCGAATGTAGTCGGAGGGATGTAATTTTGCCGGGCATCCGCCAGGGTTCTTTTATATGATACAAGTGTGAGATGGCTACTGTGGATTTCCCGCCCTTTGAAACTCCGGGCACCTCGGCCGACATCGAACCCGCGCGCTGGGGGTTCAGAAGCCAGTAAACTAACCTCTCACCCAATGACACCCCTAAGTGTGCATATATGTGATATCAAATCTACGCGTACATTAGAACTTTCCCTCTGGCCGATTTCAAACCTTCTTCAATTTGCATACCATTTACACCGAGATTATATAAATGAATGAAAGCACACATTTGCGTTAGGAGATTGTTATATGTATTATGACCCAAACTTGCCCTGGACTCATTTCTTGAAGGCAACTAAAATCCTGTAGGCCGGAGGCACCTAATTTCTTAATGAAATTTATATATTTAATAAAGCACCTCTAAGGACCTGCCGATGAGAGACGCTGCAGTGACGTCAGTTGAAACTCTGAATGATCCTCCCTCTCGGAATAAATTGAGTACAGATGGCAACTTAAAATATAAAAAAATAATAGATTTATTAGTAGTTATTTAAATGCACAAACTAGGTTCGTACTGTAATTACATTTACACACAATAATTGGCTTTAAAGAAACCTAAAAAGGTAGATGCTAAGAGGATAAAGAAGAGAGTTGAAACTCACATCGGCTGGAGATCAAATTCATTGCGCCCAGGCTCTCTAAAATGTACTTTTGACAGAAAATGTCCGAGATTGCTAATTTTAGTTTTGTATAAGAACTTATTTCTGTAAAAATACGCATTTTTTAGTTATATGGGGATGTATTTTACTTCATGAGCGTTTATTTCAAGTAATTGTTGTGTTCCAGGTCGGCCTTTTTGATCTTACTTCGAATCCACAACGTGGAGACGAAATTGAGACCAATGATCAGATGGCTAAAAAAAAGATGATTTGGTTATTGCCCCAATCTGGAATCGTGCCATATTTAGGAAGGATTATATCGAAGATTCCAATACGAATTTACGACAATAAACGACACTTATCAGCGATTCTTAGACATGAAAAAAGGGAACGTTTTGGAATGTACTATCCCTCTAAACATTGGCAGCAGTATGCAACTTCCAGTTTCCCAGAATTTAGGTTTTATAGAAAATTGAAAGAAATCACCAATGATAATAAACCACTAGCATGCAGCAAGCGGTGAGTGTATAAACATAATCTTGTAAATACAAACCTGGAATATGTTAATGTCTCTTTTAAATTTTATTTCACATTCTGCCAGAGGTATTTGTGAATTCTAAATAATCATTAAGAGTACAATTTTTTACTTAATAAAATTATTACGTATTGCGTAGGATATATTATATATGTCAAGACTGTTAACGTAAGGATCAGTAAGTATTAAAGAAAGTGTCACTGTTACCCTTGTGTGGGCGAACATTTACTTGGATTTTTATTTCTTGTCGCGTGAGGGCCTGTCATCATGATGGAAAATCTCACGCCATTTCGCGTCTTTGTGCGTCTTGCCGCTGGATATTCCATGATCGCCAGCACTGCTCGATAGGCCGCGATCTTTCAATGCAGCCAATACAGGTTTTTCTCGGCTTTAGACTAAAAAATTCCACCCCGTCGCGCTGTGGAAAGAGTCGGGTTCAGAGAAAGTGCGACAATGCCCACTTCTGCCTGCGCGGCAGTCTGATATTGCGCGATCTCCCGGGCATCTTTGAAAGCAGTTTGAAAGTCCGTTTCAAACAGTTTCATACGAAAAATGAATTATTCCTTTTTGTGAGGGAGTGCGCGGTTGTTTTTTGGGGGGGGTGAAGACCATGTCGAGCCGGTATGTTTGAAATGTATGATCTTTGCCCTTAATTTGCCCCAAAGAATTGTTGTAAATGATTGTATTCCGAGTACGGCGGCAAATTTGAAATTATTTGGCCGCCCAAGTGCGAACAGCAGTGAAAATCAACTCAAATTCATGGTTTTGGGCGAGTTGTTTCATACAGAAGATTTCACCGTTTATAGCCGCGCTATCGGAACCCGGCAGTCGTTATTCTGTCCTTCATCTCTCTTTCTCCTTCCCTCTCCCTTTCTCTCTCCGTATCTCCCTCCCTCCCCCTTTCTCACTCCGTCTCTCCCTCCCTCTCTCTTTCTCTCTTCGTCGCTCTCTCCGTCTCTCCTTGTCTGTCTTTCTCTATCCGTCTCAATCTTATTCTGTGTTTGTTTGTGTGTGTCTCTGCCTCTCTCTCATACACATTTAGTTGCAGATGCACCTCTCTGGGCAGGTGGGGTAATATCGAGAAGCACCGGAACAGTAAAAACGTAATAGAAGATCTCATCCTGTAGATTACGATGTGAGAAACAATTATTGAGGCCTTCGTAAACGAACTTTAGTGTTGCGGATTGCATTTGGCATGGATATTTTGTTTTGTTTCTACAGCGCCATCTAGTGAATTTTCCAAGTATTTTTATAGTTATTCTGCTAATCGGGGTGGGGATAAATCCAACAAAACAGTGATAATTAAAATTAGTTCAGACATTCTTGATTTGTATATCTGTAACTAAACGGACTTTGTTATATATATAAATGTATAATTAATATATTAATAATTTATGTAATAATTTTATATATAAATATAATAAATTACCGTGTTATTTCAAAGTTAGAGAAAACTACTTGAATATTAATGATGTAAAATACGAACAATAATTTATATTCCTAAATTCGATATAATGTAATTTATAAACCGAACTTTCACCTTTTTATTTCGCTGCAAAGAATTTCAATCTATTGCGTTAGAATCACTTGAAATTCTTTTTTTCTTACTTTGGCAAAAGTGTAAGTATATTGTTTTAGTGTCCAGCTTATAATTTTTGAAAGTATGATTTTACGATGCTGAATCTGCTCTAAAATAAACTAATATTTAAACGTGAAAATTTTATTTTTGTTTTCTTGCATATTACTTACGCATATACACTTCTTGTTTGAACAAAAAACGTTTTATTCTCAATTTTCAGCTGTTATTGGTTTTTAAAGAATATGTTTTTTTTTATGTGAGAATGATGTGTTTCAATATTATTGCTCCATAAGAAGAGTTACCTACGGTTCTATAGTTCTAACACAATCGATTTTAATTCCCCTTTTCAACAGGAATTGGCCCTGGTCTGGACATCTGAAACTGATGATGTTGCGCATGGAAGAGACTGGACTCATTCGTAAGTGGCAGGACGATTACAACTCATCGCTTGGTTTGTCCGCTCGCTTGGGCCAATTGCCGGAGGTCTCACTGCAGCAGAGCCACGACGCAGCGACCGCTGTGGCGCTGGGAGACATCTACAGCCACCTGCAGCTGCTGTGCGCAGGCGCGTGTGTGTCTGCGCTCGCCTTCTGCGCAGAGCTGTGGCGCGGCCACGGGGCGGGCGAGCGCCTGCGCAGGCGCGGTCGACGCGCGCGCGCGCAGCTCAGCAGAGCGTACGCAACGGTGCGCCAAGTGTGGGCGCAGATGCACAAATGGCGGCTAGGTGCAGAAGAAACGCCATCACTGCCACAGCCGTAACGTAAGCATTTTCGTATTAGCTTCATGAAAATATAATTGTTCATCTTTTAAATTTACTATAATTAAAGATGCGATAAAAATATAGTAGAATCTGAATTAAGTAAATTGTAACGACATAAAGATTAATATAATTGCTACAAAGATTAGAATGTTGACAAACACATTAACTCTTCATTATGTTTCAGGTGAAGTAACATTTTCCCAAGCACATTAATAAAAGTGCTTTGGCTGCTTTTTTGTCCGTAATTCTAATGGTACAGTCACTATTTCCAACGATCGAAAGTGGCTGGATATTGTTGGTTATATCGAGTTTTGTACAACAAGGTTGAAAAAATATTGTTGACGAGTGTTGAACGTTTTAATACATAGCATCGTGCATATCATTTACATGTGTTTCGAGTATTCAAAGTATCACTCGTTTGTTTGAACAGTCACCTTTCCATTTTAAAAAGCACATCTCGCAAGTGTAAATATGGAACAGCATTTATATACGTATTTTTAAATACATTGAATGAAACTATTAATAAAGTTTTGTGCTGCTTCATATGTAATCATGAATTTTGCACAGAGAGTATTTTTCTTTGAAAATTAAAACCGACGAAGCACTGCGTAAGTTCTCCTATCTGGATAAGCAATTGCGTTGGAAAGAAGCTAGAGAGCGATCTCTTCTCGTCTGCATCTCGTCCACCCTACGCTCGCCTCAGGTGCCGCGCAAGGGCTTCATTTGTGGCATATATCATTTTCACTCTGGATGTTGTTGGGATCACATCTGTAATGGCATTTTATTCACAATTAAAGATTTATCCATATACTAGATAATGATTTGCTATACACATTCACTCCCCCTCCTGTATTTCTGATTGTAGAAATCGTGCAAGACAGATTGAAACCCAGCCTTTCAAATGTGGAGAAAATTTGAAAGTGATCCGAACTGTTTTTGTTATATATGTGACTCAGTTACACTAAAACTCTGAATTGAAAACATCACCTCGTTTGCAAGGAAAGCGTATCACACTTACTTTAGCATTTAGTTAGGGGATCAAGATAAATCTTAGGACCACATAGTGCTTGTCACACATGTGTTGGAGGCTTGAGAAAATAATAACAACAGAAGCAGAAATCTTTGTCTTTTGGTATTCCAACGGCGTGGAGAAAACAGAATAATAATATACACGACTGTTACTTTTGCATAGTGAAAGTTTACGGACATAATTGGAAAAGTATGAAAGAAATAGTTTTTTCGAATATTCCGTCAGCCATTAGACACATACCATATGGCCCTGGCATTCCTATACCAAACCCACCACACGACCATCTACACATTTTCAGATTATTCATACAGCTGTGATAGCTAAATGGAAGTTACTGATTTCCCCAAAGAAGAGAGAAGACCCCCACTTGTTTCATCAAGTAGAACTTAATGATTTGGTTCGAGATACTCACCTCTGAAAGAAATCAGGTTTTAGGCTAACGGTTGAAAGAGAAAAACATGCTCGCTCCAGGCATAACGTTTTACTGGTTTCGAAAGAGTTCCTTGATTATTTCATGAAAGAGGGTCAGTTTGTATACTGCAACAACATTCATGATGTACTTTCAAAATTTGAAATAAGATACATCTGTGATCAGTGGAGGTTGTTTATAGATTCTTCTAAACGCAGCCTCAAAGCTGTTGTGCTTCATTATGGAAATCAATATACCTCAGTTCCAAGAGCAAATTTTGTTGATTTAAAGGAAACATAGTGTAACCTTTACTTACCTGTGGTTGACAGGTACCAACGCTCAAATTCAAATCGCGCGGGCATTACCCTCTGCAAGAGGTTGGAAACCCCTATTTATATATATTCTGAGATCTTTGAATTGTAGTGTCTGTGCCGACCTACGTGGTAGGGAGCAAGCGAAAAAGGCTTTGAGACGCGAGGGAGGAAGGTCGAAGAAGTGGGCTATGGGGGAGTGGTGGTGAGCGTGGTAAGGCCGAAGAAGAGAAACGGACACTGAAGCAGCGACGCCTAGGTTACGGGCGTCCATTTCTTATCCTACATTGCCGTGTAAGAACCCGGAACTGCGCGGAGACGTAGATTCGGCGACGCCAGCCCACTGACCGTCGCAAGCTTCGCGCCGTTGGGTGAGGCAAGGCCCCGAGATGTAGGTAATAATCGTCTTTTCTATATTTTTCTCCTTATCTTTCGCCACGAACTAGCCATTATTACTAGAAGCATCACGCATGCCCAGCACGCTAACAGGTAGGAGTATTTTCGTAGTGCCCCAAGACACCCCTTAACGAGTATGCGCTGTGTCATGACATCCTCCAGTGTAAATAGTGGACATTAGACCCTGACTTTACTTACTTAAAAAGTAAATGCAGAGAGCAACAAGCCCATTGAAGTGAATGTTGTAATGAATGCTCAGAAAGTACATGTAACTTAAACTTAAGAAACTGTGCTTGATGCTCCCTTTATATTGTTTGTCAAAATGTTAAAAATTGTATCATTGTATTCGAATTTATTAATTGATCAATGTTTTTTCAAGTTAGAGGAGAAACTTTATGCTAGATTGATTTTGTTATTGTACAAAAAGTAACATTTGTTTGTTCTTTAAGAACATATATATTTGGAAAGTTTCTTCATACTTAATTCATTTTCTAAGACACAAAAAAGATATTCACGATCCTGATTATTTAAAAAATTTCGTTTTTTTGTCTGTTGATTATGAACAGGTCACAGTTGTGAACATCTAACATTTACAATTAAAGTAAATAAAGTTAGAAATGATATCAATACAACATGGAACTTAAAATTGATTAACGAACTCCGAAATAAAATTGATTTTTTATTGTTACGCTATCATCTCCTTCTGCAAAGTGCAGTTCACGTACCTGTAATAATGCAAGTAATGAGGTAAAATTTTCTACATATTAAATCTTTAATTAGGATTAGCATTTTTAGTTTAATAATATTACGTGTTACACGGAAGAGCCAAAAAACTTGGTATACTGGCGTAATATCGTGTAGGGTACCCGCAGCACGCAGAAATGCATGGACTCAACTAATGTCTGAAGTAGTGCTGTAGGTAATGGATCCTGCAGGGCTGTCCATAAAGTCGTAAAAGTACGAGGGGGTGGAGATCTCGACTGAACAGCACGTTGCACGGCATCCCAGATATGCTCAATAATGGTCCTGTCTGGAGATTTTGGTGGCCAGTGGAAGTGTTTAAATTCAAAAGAGTATTCCTGAAGGCATTCTGTAGCAAGTCTGGACGTGTGGGTTCTCGCATTGTTTTGCTGGAATTGCAGAAATTCCGTCGGGATGTACAATGGACATGAATGGATTCTTACGTACGTGTCACCTGTCAGAGTCGTATCTAGACGGATCAGGGGTCCCATATCACTTGAACTGCACATGCCCCATAGCATCGCAGCCCCTCCAACAGCTTCACCATTTCCCTTTTGACACGTAGAGTCCATGGATTAATGAGTTTGTCGCAATACTCGGACACGTAAATTTGCTTGAAACAATGTGAAACGTGTCTCGTGAGATCAGGCAACGTGGCTCCAACAAGTCATCAACAGTCCAATGTCGGTGTTGACAGCCCCAGGCTTAAGCCTTTGTCAAAGGTACACGAGAGAGATTTTTCGGCTCCGAAACCGCATATCGACAATGTATCGTTGAATAGTTCTCATGCGGACACTTGTTAATGGCCCAGCATTGACATCTGTCGCAATTTGAGGAAAGGTTGCACTTCTGTCACGTGTAATGATTCTCCCGAGTCGTCGTCGGTCCCGTTCTTGCACGATCTTTTTGCGGCCGCAGCGATTCCGGAGGAGTGATGTTTTAGCGGATTTCCGATATTTACGGTACACCTGTGAAATGGTCGTACAGGAAAATCCAAATTTCATCGCGACCCCAGGGATGATGTCCCCATCTCTCTTACGCCGACTATAGCACCACGTTCAAAATCACTTAAATCGTGATAACCTTCCATTGTATCAGCAGTAACCGATCCACCAACTGTCCCAGACTCTGGTTGTCTTATATTCTCGTTGCTGACAGGAGCGCGGTATTTTGATTGGTTTCAGATCTCTTCATTTCAATACGCATGGCTGTACCCGTTTTTTGGATCATCTGTTTAATTCTCTTGTGCGTGCGCAATTTCCTAATGATCTCACATGTGCTCTGAACAATAAAGTTACAATAATTTTTAAATATCTCACTTCAAGCACACGTGTTTATACTTTTTATATTAGCCTTCAACAATTCCAATGTACGACAATAGTTTTCAGAATTCAGTAGCTACGACAGTTTAAACATTTTAATTCTTTACCTTAGTGCTACGCAAGCAAAATATTTAAACCCCTTTTGGGATTAAAATTAAAAGTGCAAAGAAAAAATACATATAAAGTTTAAGAAATTTATGAAATTTAAATTTTTCGTCGGCTATGTTTGCAGTAGTTTTTTTTACTCGTAGTACTCGTGTACTCGTCTCGAATTCCTGACTACGCTCGGACAACAACTCGACTTGTGCGGGAATCACCTGTTACGCGCCCTTTTTTCATAAACTACTATTTTAACACGCCTTGCGCGAAAAAGTTGTTTTTTTTAACATCGCGAACCGTTTGTGAAACATTTTTATTTATTCATTTACGTAAAAAACTGTTAAAAACTGTGTGTTACGTGCTATGCGGGGAAGTTAAATTTATCTCAAAGCGTGTGCGAAACATCGCCAGGCGTGTGCGAAACGTGTGCTCTTTGTCTTCAGTGTTCTGTATTATCACTTTGTCATCTACATATAAAATGGAGGTTATTTTTTTTTAAATATATCCCTAGATCTATATTTATACATTGAAATGTGTCAGCGATGAGCAACAGCAACACTCTCTTGGATTAATTTTTCTGTTATGCCCTGTTAAATGTTCGTTGTTTCATATAGGCTGTATAAGTGTGTTGGATATCCACTTCTTTCCTTTATGTTCCATACTAGGCTTCTTTTAACATTATCAAAAGCTTTTACTTTGTCCACGAATGTTAGGAGAGTTTCTCTGTTGTGTTCACGTCTTTCTTCTATTATTATTTTTAATGTGAAAATGGCATGTACAGTCGACCTGATGTTTCGAATACCCATTTGTTCCTCTCATATATGATGGTCGTCAAATATTTTTGTCTTTCATTTATTATTCAGGCATAGATTTTGTCGTATCCAATAGAAAATCTCTAAAAATCCGATACACAAGTTACATATAGTTGTTTACGGAATTCCCGTGGTATTGTTCCTCTCGAACTACACAAAAATTGTTGTCCTGTACATTGTTGATTTTTAGCAATAAAAGCATCGTTTGGAAAAGAAAAAGATTTGTCTCTTTGCTGCATAAAACTCGATCGTTTCATAAAAAAAGCTCTAATTAGGCAAAATATATAATGCGCATATATAATGACTGTATTGCAGACTATATGGATGATTTTGTACAAACAGAATTGACAACGATTTATTATTTATGTTCAGATAGATCACACAAGAGGCACGTAGGATACACAGATATCTCGATGTTTATTTGAGAAATACTGTAATTCAGAAGGAACTTCTGTAATTAACAAAGTAAAGGACTGCAGACATCACAGACAATTTCGCAGCAAGAACAGATTTGGAATACAAGAAATCGTCTTCCAAAGTACTACAGCTCGATGTGGGAAGGGAGATATCTATTCCTCTCTTCTCAGCTTTCTCCCCCGACCCATAACTTTGAACTTCTTCGGATCATCCTCAACGTCCTAGATTTAACTCTTCTTGCGCCTATCAAGGATTCTCACACGCAGAATAGTACAAG